TCATCACCTGTGTTAAGTCATCATAGTCATCATCTACGTTAGTCAGTTTTAGGCCCATCTCACATGACTGACCGACCATCGATGTTCTTTCCGCAAAAGGGTGTTAGTTTTCAATGCGTCTTATTATTTATGCTGGTGGATGTAAGACCTCCTACCCTCACTGATGCAGCTATGGTCAATTTGGTGTTATTCTTATTTACGCTGGTGGATGTAAGACCTCCTACCCTCACTGACGCAACTATGGTCAATTTGATGTTATTCTTGTTTATAAATGCCTTCTTATCTGTCTAAAGTCTATCCGTCCTGTCTATTGCCATAGCAACTGTCTGTTCGTCTGCGTGGTGTTTGAATGTAAGCCGGTCTGTACTCTTTGTGTCGTCAATTCTGTCTGTCTTATCCGTTGTTGGCGTGTGTCTGCCTGTTTGTCTAATGTGAACCAGTAAGTCAGCTGTCTGTCTGTCATGTTAGTTGCCATATTATCTATTTGTGCATGTATGAATCTGTCTATTTTTGTCAACCTCCTGTCTGTTTCACTGTCTATATTCACCCTGTGTCTATTGTAGTCATCTTCTCCATGCATTCTTGTTATTATCTTTTTACCTCTTCTCCTTTTCCATGAGCCACGGGAATAAGTATACACTGTAGCTGTAAGGTCGTCTGGTAACGTTGAAACTGCGCATCCAGACGCATGATGAAACTCAGCTTCCCCCCAAATGTTATCTCTAACTATTTTCTGTTTCCCCTTCTTGATTATTCTATTTACTCATCTTCCTTCCTTTACTAATCCAAACAACATTAAAAAAAAGTAGGCAAAGAAAAAAAGTGAGGGGAGGAGGAGGGAGCCGTAGATAACTGCAATCGTGGGCTGACAGCGTACAGCGAATGGGGGTGCGCCAAGTCCGTAGACTTGCATCGTTTTCCAGCGTAAATAAAATGGTTATGTAATGGTTTCCTAAAGAAACCATCGATATGGGACCAGGTTTGTTCCACTCTACGATTTTTTGAGGGGGATTTTTCCACCAAGTTTGATGAAAAACGATTGTGCCGTTTCGGCTGCCCAGAACACACACACACACGCGCGCCTAGTGCTATTGTATATATATATATATATATATATATATATATATATATATATATATATATATATATATATATATATATATATATATATATATATATATATATAGAGAGAGAGAGAGAGAGAGAGAGAGAGAGAGAGAGAGAGAGAGAGAGATATTTTAGATTTCCCCCGAGGGGGCTAGTTTATTGGGCACCTCCTTACATCCAGTGCAAGGTGAAGCTCAGAAGCGTTTACAGTGCCCATCTGGAAAGCATGCGGAGTTCATGCTTGCCTTCATGACTCATGCATTAAGGGCGTAAAAGCCTGAAGGGTCATGGGTTTTGTCAGCAAGTTACATAAAGTGACAGAATGATGAGTGTGTGGGGGGAAATTTCCTGGTACAATTTATCTGTTTATGGCAAAGCGTGGCAAGTCCCTAATAATTTCAAGTGCCAGGCCATAGGCAGTGACAATATTGAGGGACATACCTTTCAGTGTGATTGTGATGGCGTGTACGTCGGTAGTGTCGGCTTCAAGAGGGACGTCGAGAGGTTGGTAGGGGACGTCCTTCTTGGCGTAGATACATAGTCCACTAGCATGTTAGCATGGTGGTCAATTGATGTGGAGAACTGGAGTGGATGGGCCCCAGGTGCTGGCATGTCTGTGGGGAAAGGGGAGCCGGGGGTGGTGTCCTCAGGTCCATGAGCGCGCGGTGGGTGGACGGGGGCAGTCGGCCACGGGGCAGACTCCGTGTGGACGCCAGCAGTGGTGTCAGGTGGCGGTGGAGTAGGCCGTGAGCATGAGGGGCACACAGGGGGGGGGCTGCCAGGTTGTGTCAAACCAGAAGAGGGGGGTGACTGGGTAGCAGCTGGAGGCAGGGGTAGTCTGTGTAGGTTGGAGATGGCGGTACAGAGGGTATCAAAGAGTCTTTCAATACGGTTGGTAAATTCGTGTAAGAGGGATATGATCTGTGTCGTGTCACCGGAGGGGGGTTGTGGGGGACCCCCGGTGGGGGCACAAGGCCTGACAGCATCAGAGTAGAGACGGAAAGGAGGCCCAGTTGTAGTTGAGTTAGGAGATGACCGGGACTGCTGTGTTGCAGCCAGGTGAGGCCAGGCAGGGGCAGGTGGTGTTGAAGAAGGCGTTACTGGAGACAGAGGGGACGCAGAGGGATGTGGCTCGGTAGGCTGGGGAAGAGGTTGAGTTTGACGCAGCCTTCGGAGATGTTTTTCTCCTGGGATAGACGGACGTTTGGGGCATTGTCGTGAGTCAACATTGTGCCAGCCACCACAATTACAACATCTGGGGTCAACAACATAGCCCACAACACCTCCATTGAAGTGGTCTTTGATTTTTATGGCACAGACGGAGGAGTGATGGTTACCTGAACAGAAGCGACATCTGGGACGATCATGTCAGCAGCAGGCGGTGAAGGTGTGACCCCAATGGGAGCAGATGACACAAAAAACAGGCCCGGGGTGATATGTTTCAGCGTACAGTGGGGGGAGGACTGGGTGGGTATCAGCAGTGGTTGGGCACTCCCTCCCCTTCCATTTAACTATGACAGCTGCTTGTGGGGTCTTTCCTCGGTAGTGTCAACGTATACTGAGTATACGTGGATTAAAGTTACGAGCATCTTCGACTTCAGCGTATAGGGGGAACTGTTTAACTAGGATGTGGCAACATTCCGCTGCATCAGCAGGTGGAGGCATGAGGACAACCCCGTCAAATCCAACAGTACTGAGTGTTTCATAGACCTCGGGTGTCTGACACTTGATAAAGTTACGGTTCTTACCTTTTCGGAATTGACTGGTGAGACCGTGTTGTCTCCAATACTTTGTTGTCCAATTAAACCGTTCCTCGACGGTTTTCAGTAAGTCCTTGGGGAAGTGCAGATGCAATTTACTTGGTTGGTTGGCAAAGGGGTGGGTGTCGAGGGGAGAGTCACTGCCCTTGGCATTGGTGTTGCCATTCTGACAAGTGTTTCCCAAAGAAACATTACTGTTACTGTCACTATTACTGAGGTCTGACTCTTGCAGTGTGTGGGATGCACTATGACTATCCATCTCAGAAATGTCTGTATCCATGAGAGAGGAGACGCCTCTTCCTGGGGCGCTTACGTCGACCCACCCCCTCCCCCATCGTTGCCAACACTTGCCGGCAAAACGGTAGGTAGAGACTGAGGTGGCCTTTGTGTGACGATCTGGAGGACAGGAGCACCTATAGGCACACGTCTGTCCTCTTACGTGGTCAGACCGCGACTGTGTATATATATATATATATATATATATATATATTTTATTTTATTTATTTATTTTTTCACGGGATAAGCTCACCAGGACACAGGTCAATGACCCACATTAGGGCCTGGGGATGAAAATATAATAATAATAATAATAATAATAATAATAACAATAATAATAATAATAATAAATGCTGGTATTCTTTGGTCACATTCTGCACTACACTAAACCTTTACAAATTCGTATGATGCATGGTCTAGAACAGTGGTTCTTAACCTTTTTACTACCACGCCCCCTCTAGGAATTGGTCCTTCCCTCCACGCCCCCCCCCCTTGCATCTATGAATAAAATTCCCTCCCAGATTTTAAAGAAAAATTAAAAATATTGTGTCTTTAGTCTTTTTATTGAGTGTAAATTAGTGAGATACTTGACACTGCTTCTTAGCTACTAGATCTTGAATGCGTGGTTGAATGCCAGAGTGCACAACGTAAATCCCCTTCAACGTTCAGCCTGTTTCTGTACTTGGTCTTGACAGCAACGAGCGTGGAAAATGCAGCTTCACAAAGATACGTGGGTCCGAACATAGTTAGAATCCGAAGAGCCTGATGTGAGATCAGAGGGTAAATAGGAAGGTACTTGACCCAGAACGTCTCAACATCCAGTTCTTTGAAGTCTTCCTTAGCTGTGGAGGTGAACTTCAACTCAAGAAACTTCTCTTGCAATTCATCCGAAACATCAGCTACTTCACATTGAAATGGGTTCCTGATGAATTTCCAGCCTTCACACTTCTCATCTATCTCTGGGAAGTATCTGATGAATTCTGTTTTCAAGTCAGTTAGATGAGTGATTATTTGTTTCTTTAACTCAGAATCAAGGTTACCGTGAATGAGAGCAGAATCCAAGTTACTAAAACTGGCTGTATTTCCCTGCTGAATTAGACGCTTCCAGAGGTCGAGTTTGGCCATGAAGGTTCAAATGGTGTCTTGGTGCATGATGATATTGATGTTTTTCCCTTGTAGTTTAAGGTTGAGAGCATTCAACGCTTCGAAGATGTCCACCAGGTAAGCTAGAGATAGCTGAAAGCCTTCAGGCGGGAACTTGTCATGGAGATCTGCCTTCTACTTCGAATCAAGAAATATTGCTACTTCTTCTCGGAGTTCATAAAGCCGTCCAAGCATGTTCCCCTTTGATAGCCATCGTACGTTCGTGTGAAAAAGCAAGGTTTCATGTTCAGATTCCATATCCTTACACAGCAGTTTGAAGAGACGACTGTTTAAGGCTCCAGCTTTGATAAAGTTGACTACCTTGATAGCCACGTTCAGGACATCCCTCATTTCAGCAGGTAAAGTTCTGGATACTAAGGATTCATGATGAAGTATGCGGTGTGTACCTACAACAGACGGATTTTTTTCTTTCACCATTGTAATGAGTCCAGACTGCAGACCAAGCATGGCTGGAGCTCCATCAGTGCACACCCCTACCAGCGAGTCCCACGAAAGTTGGTTTTCCTGAAAGAAGTTTGATACATCATGAAAAATAGCTGCTGCTGTTGTACAACTTTCCATGGGGTGACAGAACAGCATTTCCTCTTTTACACTGTTGCCTGACACGAAACGAGCATACATCAGTAGCTGAGAACACTGAGCGATGTCAGTCGTTTCGTCGCACTGGATGGCAAAAACAGGAGAATCTCTTACTTGGTCGAGAATTTGATCTTTGGTGTCTTGAGACAATTCATCGATCCTTCCCTTGACTGTATCGTTTGATAGTGAAATTTGGGAAAGCTTGTTTGCACTATCTTTCCCCAGAACGAGTTCTGCTGCACGGAGTTTGCTTGGTCTTATGAGAAACTCTCCGATGTTATGGCTCTTCTTGCTCTTTGCAATCAACATGGCGATCTCATAGGAAGCCTCAACAACCTTTGAAGTTTGTTGCCGAAATGCCCCACTGCCGTCCAACTTAACTTGCTTCAAGGAGTGTCTTTTTGTTTCAAAGAATGCCTTGGGCTTGTCAGCTAGAGCAGGATGTGTTGTTCTCAAGTGGCGTTCCAAGCATGAGGGCCGCATTCCATCATTGCTCAGAGTCTTGTAACATATCACACACTGAGGGACCTCTGTGTCACCCTTTTGGAGAGACACGAATCACATGATCATAAACACCACATGATTATTAACAAACATCAATGATTACAACATGATCATAAGCACCACTAGATGATCATAAACACCACCACATAATTATTAAGTAAATATTAACAAACACCACAACATTATAGTAAACACATCATGATCATAAACACATGATTATTAAGAAACAAATCAATATCATCATAAATACAACTTTACCATAACCACCTGTTACCACCACATGATTTTAAGCACCACCAACTTCTGATAAAATGCAAACGGAATTCAAAACTTGAGAATAACCAACAGAGCAACACATGCGTGTTCACAATTCACCAATAAACTTATGGCTGCTTACTATTTTTAGGTAAATATAGCAACTGGGATAAAACATACCTCAACAGCCTTAACTGAATAAATGTGAGAGAAGAGGAATTATTGCCACGGACGTGTGCAGAAGACTGGGAGAGAACGGGGCTCACCAGTCACCAACGAGCAGTATACAGGTCCAGGACGAGTTAACCCCCCCCCCCATGGGTTTCAAGGGATAGGGAGGGGGGTCAATAAGCACAGAAAATGGTAAGCCCTAAGTCAAAAAAGTAGCCTATAGAAAACTAAAGTTATAAGGCGATACTTTTGCATTTTTTCATAAACTTCTCAATATTAGCCCACGCTCTTGTTAAGAGAATAAAAACTATACTTATAATTAGAGAAATTCCTACTTTTTCCCTAGGGCTTGCACCCCCCCTGGAAATTACTGACGCCCCCCCAGGTTAAGAACCACTGGTCTAGAATCTAGATGCTAGACTGAACAAACGGAACGGGTATTGCAATTACCAAGTCAGGCGATCAGTGCCAACTAGTGCGGTGTCGCCTCATGGAGCTATAAGAATGACTTGTGTTCGAAGATTGATGTTTCGGTCACTGTCATGAAGCTTGCTCGAAACCGGCCTCAATACATTCACGTTAGTATTTTTTCATGTTCATGGAGGTGGCGTCACGGATTGTTGTTTGCATTACGATTGGCATATTTTCTACAGTAGCAATATATTTGTCTACCATACTGTGATAAATACATTCGGTGGAATAACGAAGGGATGGTGTCACGTTAGCGATCGGTGCTGAGTAAATGAACATGTGAGTCTTTGTGAGTTAGACACGGCCTACTTTACATAATATTGCTAGTATTAACACATGACACCTGAACGTAAAATAAGCGATTGTATTGGTTTGCAGAGTGTAATTTGAAAGGGTAATATGTTCTCATTCAAGAACATAAATATAGCCTTTTAATACAAGTAATAAGGTTTAATGCCAAGGTTATCATGTGTTCAGTTTGCATCCTATTGTAACACTGTGGCTTGATACCAGGTCAACCCTTACTTTGATCTTTTTTTTGGGGGGGGGGAGGGGGGATTAGCCCACCCGGACACAGGTAACTGACCCACACGGGGCCTGGGGGCGAAAATGTAATAATAATAACAATAATAATAATAATGATAATTAGTTCATAATAAATAAAATTTAAAATAAAAACTACAAAATTATGAATTAAACAACAACAACACCAACAACAACAACAACAACAACAATAATAACAATAATAATAATAATAATAATAATAATAATAATAATAATAATAATAATAATAATAATAATAATAATAATAATAATAATAATAATAATAATAATAATAATAATAATAATAATAATAATAATATTATTATTATTATTATTATTATTATTAATATTAATAATATTAATAATAATAATAATAATAATAATAATAAAAATAATTATAACAAAAAAGAACCGTAAAGAAATACAAAAATTAAAAAAAAAGATCAATAGTGAGAAACGATATACAGTATGTATGCTGTGTTGTCAAAGTAAGAGAAAGAATTGAGACCCTGTAGTTGTGTGTAAATGAAGCAGAAAGTCAGATCGGCAAAAGTTTCGTGATGCCATATGGCAGCAGGGTCTACTATTAGACAACACATTATGCTTCCAATATCTTCCCAGGCGGTAGTATCACCCTGTTTGATAGCTGCCTACTACCTACTATCCTGTTATCATGTTTCGTAAAAAGAACCTTTTTGGTATATACAGGGTGGCTTAAACAAGACACATTTCATGGCAATATATATCCTCCAACCATGCCTTGTCTCCTACCCCACGCACAATCCCTGTCCGAGGTCTCCCCAACTTCCCTGCTCGATCCCATCCGCCCTTGGCCATACCCATCTCCCGCCCTGCAGCACCCCTACAAACCCGTCCCCTCCTCCCCAGTGATGACATCCATTATGTTATCATGCCAATAAGATAATAAAATGTGACATAATTATGGCATATAACACACTATGGTCAGCAGTCAAATAATAAGGGACCTTCATTTACACATCGTGAGGTGAAATATGTTTCTATTAGGTATTATATGGACAAGTACAGTATACTGTATGTTATCCTTGTAGATATTTAGGTCGTATTACATGTCGCAATCCAGAGCTCAGGACACCTTCATATGATATAACAAATAGAGGCACTAACTGGACACTCACGGTGCCACAAACACCACAGTACAGTAATATACTATTGGTATTACTCCAACCACCAGCTTTAAATGCCAAATTACTTGTCAACAATACCTTTTTGATATATGGAGTTGATTTTTCAGTTAGTGCAACTTTGCTTTAACATGAAGTTATTTCTTATTGCATTAACATTAATGGTAATACAGAATTGGCGATGTATCTATATTATTATTTATCAATGGTTTCCCAAGCTCTGTCCGTGGTGACGAGCGGGAAACAACCATTGGTCAAACTATCGTCTGGCGTGTGTTCGTTTGTGTGTCGCATTGTTGTCAGCATGGTGAGCTGTCGTCCAGAAAGGCCACCTAGTCTCACCTTCCGTTCGAGCAGGGTGTTCTTGTTATTATGACTCGTGACTGTACAAAAAATATAAAATGTACAAGAAAATAATAGACAACCAAATAAAAATAGACACTCGGCATTCTGCATTGCTAAGGAAATCGAAATCTATTCGTTGGACGGTTTGAGACGAGACTAAGTAAAGTTTTATCTGAGTAAATCAAAGAAGAGATTTTACTTAGTAGCTAAACAAGTAGACCTATTGTACTGTAGGAATAGTTTAGTGTAGCCTACTAATTAATTAATTTTAATTGTTGTTTCTACACTGCAGCACTATAAAAAAATATATTTAACATTTCTTGCTAAATGAAAAAATGTAGGATTCACGTTGTTTAGAGATGCGAAATCGGCGAATCATGGGTCTAGGGGTGCCAACTTACTTACCAAACTAAGTGCCAATAGAACGTTGTTATAACTAAGTTAACTATGATTCTTTAATATAAAAAGATATATAAAAATATAAAAAATAACAGGATTTTTCAATGTATGAGAGGTTTTCAATTTTTTTCCTCAAGTTTTCAAGGTTAGGGTGAAATTTTCAATATACTGTATAGCAACATATTTCAAGCAGTGGCTCCACTGGTCATACATAGCCCCTACACACAAACAAGCACCCAAGCAGTTCAACAATCGAGCTCTGATACTTCCATTTCCCAATAAGGACCGGGAAAGGATATCATTGTTTTGTTTAATACATTAACGAAAAAATTTATCCAATCAAGTTTTACATTATTTGACATAATGGTACACATTAACAGACAGAGAGAGAAAACTACAGGGGTAGACCGGAGGTGGTGGAGACCTGGTGACACCCATGCCGGACAAGTTACGTGTTATGCATATTTTTTTTTAATCTAAAGAATAGATCGTTTGAATTATTGTCTTGTCATTTTTATCTGTAAATGTTAAAAAAAAATTTTTGAATGCATATAACATTAACTGGGCAACATTTATGGTTACCTATAAGAGTTTAACTAATGATAAAATATGTTCCTGCTGCTTTTACCTTATTTTTCCAGCCAACCCTATTCAGCGGTGTGACCTACTTCTAGTTGTGACACACTTTTATATTAATCATGTCTCTCATTTGTCACCTATAATCCCACCATGATATCCATTGTAGGGATCAACTATGTAGACTATGATAAGGCCATTATCACGAAGGGTAATAAAGCATTCTCTTATGAACCATATTATCACATTCATGCTAAGTTTCTGGCTACCAATCTGAGGGACAATAAACCCCAAGTCCAGTAATTCCGACCGGTTACATATATATATATATATATATATATATATATATATATATATATATATATATATATATATATATATATATATATATATATATATATATATATATATATATATATATATATATATGCTGATAACAAGGAAAAGAAAACACAAAACACTAGTCTGTACTCACCCCTGAAGATGTGAATTACACGAAAGCCCTTGGGAACTTCGTGTTTTCTTCTTTCCTTGTGGTTATCAGCATATACCTAGATCACGCACGCGCACCTACAGTGATTTACTTGCATATATATATATATATATATATATATATATATATATATATATATATATATATATATATATATATATATATATATATATATATATATATATATATATATATATATATATACACAACGTATTGTCCCTGGGGGAACAGGTATGGTCACTATTCTTTGGAGATCTTCCGCGCTTCTCGCCTGGTAGTTGACACAGGTCTACACGCCCTCGGCTGGACCCGTCAGGAGGCCGTCGACTACCTGATTAACCACACAGCCATGACTACTGTAAAAGTGGAGGTGGGTCATATTTGTGTTTACATCACGGATTCCTTACTTGACGTGTGGTAGGTGAGTGTGACAAGTCTTATTTGGTCACTGGGGAGAATGTAAGGGAGTTATTGAGAGAAAATTATTATTTATTCCTTCATCTTAATAGGGATATAAATATACCAACATGGTCTCAGAAGCATAGCGGTAAAACTCAAGTGATGGAAGTTGAGCTGAAGTTCGGTCCATGTGATTTCAGGATCTTAAATATGGTATTGCTAATCTATGGCACACGAATTCTTATACTTTTTCTTGCCTTACGCACATTAATTAATTCGTAATTGTGTGAGTCGTTGCAGAATGAGGTGGACCGGTACATTACTATGCCGGGCCAGGCGCTGGCTTACAAGGTGGGGCAACTCAAGCTAATGGACTTGAGGTACAAGGCCGCCAGTGTATTAGGCGACGAGTTTGACATTAAGAAGTTCCATGATGTTGTACTGGACTCTGTCGGACCTCTGGACCTGGTGGAGGATGAGGTCAACGCTTGGGTTAATGCTGGAGGAAAGAAACTTTACATCATCCATAATCTGAAGTAAATAAAATGTGATCATCTCTTCATTTTTATTTTCCTAAAAGGGAATAAATGTAAGTATATCCGTCATAAAGTGTTATGGAAATTTTTAGAAGACTTTGATAATTTTTTTTTCCGAGATACACGGAGGAAGGGGAGAGAAGAAGTACAGTCACCCAAAAAAGTCCTGTCGCGAACCATGAACCCCGAGATTCAGACTCTTGAATCCGAAGCATTTATGGACAGAATAATGTATCAGTGTCTACTGCTTCGGGTTCACGAGTCTGAATCTCGGGGTTCGTGGTTCGCGACAGGACTTTTTTGGGTGACTGTACATAGGAGAATTAGGTGCGAGATGTCTGACTTAAGATAAAGCAGATATGACACCTACTCAACACCTTTTATCTCTATCCTTAAACCCCACCCCTGTTGGCTACCCCTACCCGCCTTTATACCACCCTACTATTGGGACCACGCCCTTTCCACCACTGTAACTCGTCGGCCAGAGCGACTCGGCGCTTGTGTTCAAAGGCTACAGTGGCATCTCTATTTCAAATGACCGGAACTGTAGTTCTAAATCATGACGTAAAAAATGGTTTAAATATGTACTATGGACTAAAGTATAACTTAATACAAACTATTCATCCACTTTGGTTTGGTGTAAACAATCGGGATTTTCATTTTGTTCTGCCTCAGAGTACGGTACCCTCGCAATACAGTGGGTAATTCGCACAATCAATGAAATAATGCACTTCACAAGATTTCCTTTAT